AAAGAAAGAAAGAAAGAAATTCCAAAGAACCTTAAACATAAGAAAAGATGCTCAATTGCACTCAATTTTTTAAAAGGCAAATAAAAACAACCCTGAAATATCAGTTTTCATCAAGTGGAATATAAAAAAGAAAAAAACATAAAATATCTGGCAATATCCTTTGTTGGAGAACTTCAGGGGTTAAATGGTAAAAGTGCCATAGAGCCAAATGGGACAGAAATCTATTACCACGACAAATGCAATTATTCTTCAGCCGGTAAGTCCTACTTTCCCATTTCTAGGAATTTGTACTAAAACAATACGTGCACCATATCCCAAGAAGCATGTGAATGAGGCTAGTCTTTCAGCACTGCTCACAATACCAATAGATTCCAAACAGCGCAGGCGTGCATCAGCTGGGAATGACTTAAACTACACTACTGAAATTTACTCTGTTGTTACGCAAAGTATGAAAAAGTACTGATATAAAAGGATCTTCAGAATATACCAAATGAGTGAAGCAAGATGCTTATGTGTAATAAGGAGGTAGTATTTGTATTGGCTTGAATCTGAATAAGAAAAGACTAGGATACACTATTAAAAATTGTTACCTTTCATTAAAAATGGTTTCCCTGGGGGGAAAACAGGGTGGCTGGGAACGGGAATGGAAATAAGACTTTGCAATGTATCTTTTTGCATCATTTTGATTTCTGAATCATACAAGTATGTCACCTATTCAAAAAACTGTATGTTAATAAAAGAACACATCTCTCTCATAAAATGTCAAACAATCATGACTCAGAAGTGGATTCTGTGACTTGTGGAGGTACTGTAGCACTCCATCCTGGACCATCTCCTCTCCTTGCCTGCAGATCCCCTGTACCCGCGTGACCAGGAGCTGGGACTCACGAGGTCTGAGCAGTATGTTCTATAAACGCTTTCATAGAAGTGTAAGTTTTCAGAACAGAAACAGAACTTCCTCCCAACATGACACCTCATTATACTACAACTTTCCTCCTGTTGTCCTGATTTTCCTACCATAGTGTTCCTTGATGTGGTGACTATCAGACCTAAGAATGCTAGTCAACCCTGTCTGCAGTTCCCTCATGTGCCTCACATTTTGGAGGTGGTGAGAAAACATATACATAATCTTGGAGGTCATATCCAAGCTTCAGTGTTTACTAGCAGACTCTCTGGCAAGTCACCACTACTCTGAGCCTTAGTTTCCTCATGGGTAAATGAAGATGATAGTGTTTTCTCATATGCCATTATAGTAAGGGTTCGAATTTATGCAAAGTGCCCAGCATAGTATCTGGCATATAATATGGCCTTGGAAAGACATAATACTTTTGTTATTTAAAATTTTTCTTGGTTTTGTTCTAAATTCACAATATAAAATTTAGAAAGCAGCCTGGGCACTCTGGTTCACGCTTGTAATCCTAGCACTCTGGGAGGCTGAGACAGGAGGACTGGTTGAGCTTAGGAGTTTAAGACCAGTCTGGGCAAGAGTAAGACACCATCTCTACTAAAATAGAAAAACTAGCCATGCATCGTGGTGGGCATCTGTAGTCCCAGCTATTCGGAGGCTGAAGCAGGAGGAATGCCTGAACCCAGGAGTCTGAAGTTGCTGTGAGTTAGGTTGACACCATGGCACTCTAGTCTGGACAACACAGTGAGACCCTGCCTCAAAAAAGAATTAATTAATTAATTAAAATAAAATTTAGAAAGCTATGTTATTTGAAACTTGCCATGTAAAATATACGTAAGAGACTTTTACCACAAGACCCTATATAACCCCAGTCTTTGTCCATGAGTTATAAAAACTACAACCAAATTTTTTAAAGAATTCACTATACAAGAAACACTGCTAAATACTTTATATATACTAACACAATTAAACAACACCCATAATACAGTTTTATGAGGGAGATATAATACTATTACTAGCCCTATTTTACAGATAAGGAAACCAGGCTTGGAGGTTAAGTAACTTGCCTATTACACAACTCTGACCCTGGAGCCTTATATCAGAATAGTCTGAGGTTTGATGGATCTTGGAAGGAGAAACCCAATCAACATGAATAACCTAGGCAATTCTACCTTTACTTCAGTAAATGACTCTGTCCTTGCTCCTGCCAGATAAACAGCAAAAAGAACACGTTTGGGTTGGACTTTGGCTCCCTTCTATACCCACAAGGGAATTGCAAATGAAGAGTGATGGCAGAAAAAAAGTAGAAAGAGAAAAACAGTTCAAAAGGCCCTGGGCATTTGAAAGAGAACTAACTACAGCAGAACCTCTGTAAGTCGACCACCCAAGGGACTGTAACAAACTGGTTCACATACAATGGTGGTCAACATAAGGAACTAGGCTGACTATACTGATATGTACATATGTACATGTGGTAATGTCTGGCCTATGGAAATTAGGTCAATGTAGGGAGACGGTCAACTGTGGAAGTTCTAATATGTATATATTAGATACCTATATATCTAATAGGGCAACAAACAAAACCAAAAACCCTAGGACATATCTACACCACAAACTCTAGAATACTGATAGGTAAAGAGGGTACCAAGGATGATTCCAAGACCTGTATGGTCTAAGCAGCTGTACAGAAGGAAGCAGAGGGACTAACAGGCCGCTAATGGGCGAAGATTCCCTGAACAGCTTTCTCAGTTCTAATTAGAAAGTTGGAAGGGCAATTTGTGGAGTGCAGCTGAAGCTGGGAGGGGTTGTGCCCATTCTAACTGTAGATGAAGGACAAGAGGACTTTGGAGAGGTCTGAAAGGGCTGGGCTAGTGTGGTCTTCGCCCCATTAATCCTCAAAACCAACTAGCCAATGGTCCCTTCTAACACAAACCCCACACTGAGAAGAAACTTCTTGGAAGATAAACCAAGCTGAACAGCCCAGGGAAAACAGAGTAAAGGAAAATCTAGGGAAAAGTAGGGGAGAGAAACATAGCAGACACCTTACAAAGTATGCCCCTGTGATTTTTAAGATAATCCAAAAACAATAAAAAAAGGGAAATGAACCTGAAGATTAAAAAACTACCTAAAACCATGTTCCCTTCTACAAATTCAGGAAAACCAATTTCATATAAAAA